GGGAGGGGCCCCCTGGTCCCGGGGGGACTCCGCTGGAGGGCGGGGCGGGGCGGGCGAGGCCCCAGGTGGGGTTGCAGTAGGTACCGGGGCCGCTCGGCCGGCGAGGACTGGGTCCCGGGCTGGACGGGTCCTGTGGGTGCTGGGTGGGGGCTCTGGGCGCACAGCTGGGGGCAGGGGTCCCGGTTCCTCAGCCCGGCCCTCGCCCCCAGGATGGGCAGCAGCTCGCTGTCCGAGGACTACCGCCAGTGCCTGGAGCGCGACCTGCGCCGCGGGCGCGCGGGCGTGTGCGGGGACCCGTCGCTGCGCGCGGTGCTCTGGCAGATCCTGGTGGAGGACTTCGACCTGCACGGGGCGCTGCAGGACGACGCGCTGGCGCTGCTCACCGACGGCCTGTGGGGCCGCGCCGACCTGGCCCCCGCGCTGCGCGGCCTGGCCCGCGCCTTCGAGCTGCTGGAGCTGGCGGCCGTGCACCTGTACCTGCTGCCCTGGAGAAAGGAGTTCACCACCATCAAGGTGGGCGCCGGCGACGAGGATGGCGCTTTCTTGACCAGGCGTGGGGGTGAGGGGTTTCTGGGGTCCTCAGCCCCTGGTCTCCGGGCGCAGAGCGCGCTGAGGGGTCCTGCGTGTGTTGGGTCAGCTGTGGGCCGAGGGCCCGGTGGGCACTCCCAGCGCTGAGAACAAGGGGGGTTGGGGTGGAGGCCACCCCAGGGTGCCTGCCTCCTGGGTGGCTCCTGCCCCTTAAAGCTCCCTTCACTGCCCTCCCCCAAGCGGCCTGCGGCCCCAGTTGCCATAAAAATCCTAGGACAAGCCCACGGGAAGGACTCGAGTTTCCATGGTCGCCCTCATTCCTCCAGGATGTGGGCTGATCCCGTTGATAGAGAATGAAGCCAGGGGGGTGTGCCCTGGGAAAGCAGGCAGGGGCTTGGGGAGCCTGGGGGGTGCGCAGACTGGGCAATGGCCTAGCTCACCCCCGGCCCAGGTAGGGCGGTTGTGCTCGGGGCTGGCCTGGCCCCTGTAGATGAGCAGCCGCCAGCAGAAGGGGGCAGGCGCTGGTGCTTAATTCGGAAGTGCAGGGAGGTGATGATGTCACTGGGCACGTGGGCGCTGGCCTCCACAGTTGTCATGGCAGCAGCAGCCTTTCTGGGGAGAGGAGCTCTGGAACCCACTGCTCACAGAGGACACAAGCTGGTCTGAGGTTCTAGGACTTTCATTCATCCATTCAGAGGGTAGGGTGGAGGGTGGGGCGTGCAGGTCCAGCCCCAGGGGAGGCTGAGAGCAGAAAACAGGCCGGCCCTTGAGGCGCTCCTGGGCCTTGGTGTTGGGCAGACCCGGGGGAGGTCTGGTTCTGCCCCCTCCTGGCTGCGAGGCGCTGGCACCGCTGTGAGCCGAGGAGGGCTCATGGCCCAGGGCTGTGGGTTTGGAGCTGCAGAGGGATCCAGCAGGTCGCCATCCCAGCTGGTTTTCTTGTGCACACAACCCTGCCGTCCGAGAAGCACGTACCCATCTGGAGCCCGGAAGGCAGTGGGTTTCTCGGTGAGGGGCCTCTAGTGTGTTCTTACCTCTGAACCGGGAGGACAGATGCATTTCTTAAACTGTGGTGAGGGGGCTGCCCCAGTCGCTGGCACCAGGCTGCCATCGGAGCGGGTGTGGCCGAATGGCCAGGGCGGAGTGCGGGCCGGGCTGCTGCTAACCGGCCTCCTTTGCAGACGTTCTCAGGGGGCTACGTGCACGTGCTGAAGGGTGCGCTGTCCGAGGACCTCCTCATCCAGAGCTTCCAGAAGATGGGCTACGTGCCCAGGGACGACCACTGCCTCACGGTGACCGCCCTGCCCCCCGCCCACCAGCTGGTGCAAGTGGCCCTGGGCTGCTTCGCCCTGCGGCTCGAGTGTGAGATCCTGGGCGAGGTGCTGGCACAATTGGGCACCAGTGTGCTG